ACCATAGCCGAACCAGCGTGTAGTGACGACACGCTCGAAGGCGTCGGTCACGTCGTATCGGGCTCCGAACCGATCCTCAAGGAACGCCTGGAAATCCACGAAGGTCGGAGTCCGACCCTCACGAAGGGAGTAGGCATAAAAATCCTCCCAGGCCTCGAAAGGACCGCCACGTAGGCGCGTGGAGAAGGAACCCAACCACGTCTCGGGTGTGGCGCCCATGAGCTGGAGTGTGCGGGTGGCAGACTGCAGCCACCGGGACACGCGTATGCCTGTACCGTCATACAAAGCAATGTCCGACAAGCGGATGAGTGGTGCGCCACCGTTTTGGCGGCGAGGGGATCGAGGAGCGGAGGCCTGTGCCATGGCTGAGTAAGTTGGCGCAGGTCTTGGAGAAAGGGGCGCAACTGACTGTGCTCTCGGGCCGCATGGGGGAGCGGCGGTGGCAACAGCGGCAGGCTGCGAGGGTGTTGCGGTAGAAGAGGTCGCAGCAACCGCGGGAGTAGGAAGAAGGTAGGAAGGAGTTGTATAGGGTGCAGGGCGCGGAAAGCGAGCCTGCATGGGAGGAAGGGTAGAGGAGGTAGGGGGTGCGCCCGAAGGCGCGGCCACCTGTGAGGGTGGGGGTGGCTAGAGGCGTAAGAAGGCGAGGTCGGCCGGGAGCTGGGCAATCTCGTCCGCGAGACCTCGAACGTAGGTTGATCGAGGGGTGGCAGGAGGAAAAGTGGAGGGGGTGGATGCACAAGCGGCGCGGGGCATCCCAGAGGGGGGAGAGCCAGGTGGCGCTGCGGTCGTATGAAGGGGAGGGAGAAGCGGGGCACCCAGAAAAGCTGAGACCATGGTAGCGGGTTGTTGTACCATGGCCATAGTGACCGGGATCTGGGCGGGTGCGCCCGTAGACTGAGGAGGGGCCTGGCTCGTGGCGGCCGTCGTGCTAGGGGCGTGGACGGTCACCAAGATAGCGGGGTCAGGGGCGACGGAGGAGGAAGCTCCGCCGTGGCCACCCTGTCGGAGGACGGAGGACCCGGACTGGGAGCCAGGAGATGACGGACACGCAGTGTCCTGGAGTTGCTGCATGCCGGCGGCAAGGGTCGCCACCTGCGCCTGTAAGGGCGCGAGGGTCGCGAGTTGCACCTGGATGGGCACAAGGGTCGCGAGTTGCGCCTGGATGGGCGCAAGGAGGGAGGTGAGGAGGGTGTGTAGATCCCCCTGGGGCTGATGGGTCTGGTCCGCCGGCACGGGTGTGGAGCCCGATGTCGTGGTCATCGCCGTGTCGGCGGCGTGTGACGCACCGTTGGCCATGGGGAGATGACGGACCGGACTGGAGGGGGCCAGAAGAGGTTCGCGTGAGCGGAGGGCATAGGGGGAAGTCCGCGGTAGAAAGCGGCAAGGCTAGCACGGGCGCCGTCAAAGGGGGAGAGTTGGTTCGGGTCCAGGGTGCTCGAAGAGGACGGGGAAGTAGGGGGGTTTTGAGGAACCCTAAACCCTAAGAAAACCCTAACCGAGGTTTAAGTGGCTAGGGTAGGGTACCGGTTACCTAATCAAGAAAGTAAAATAGCAAGCATAAGGGGGGGGAAGCGGGAGAAAAATAAATAAACAGCGAGATTTCGAGAGAAAATAAAAATAAATAAGAAAATAAATAAATAATAAAAATAATTAAAGAAATAAGTAAAGAGATGTGAAGGGAAACAATATTTATTTTTTTGAATTTTTTTCGGCAGCAGTTCCCTACCCCCCACGGGGTCAGGAATGTGCCAAGGGACAAGGAGAGACCGAGGTGAGCACACTAGAGATGCCGCAAATAATAAAAAGAAATTTCAGAAAATAATAAAAATAATAATAAATAAATAAATAAGTAAATAAGTGTGTGAGGAGGTGGGGAGAAATGGGTTATCTGATTTTTTTTATTATTATTTTTTTTTTCCCAAAAATTTTGGCAGCATTTCGTTACCCCCATGGGGTCGAAGTGTGCCGAAAAGACTAAGAAAGAGAAAATCAGAAAATTTCGGCAGCACTTCGTTATCCCCACGGGGTCAAAACGTGTGCCAAAAGCAAGAAAGGCTAACACCTAATCAGATTTAGGGTTGCCGATAAGAAATTCGAATTTTCAGAATAAATAAAAATAAATAAAATAAATCAGAAAATAAAAAAAGAGGGTGGGGAAGAAGATGA